CCTTCCTCCTCGCTCTCAATCTCCTCTCATTCTCCCTCGTCTCCGCCTGCGGTGACTGCTACCCTAACCCCACACCTTCCCCTGAGGATGGAAAATGCCCTAAAGACACTCTTAAACTAGGAGTTTGTGCCAAATTGCTGGGCGGTCTCGTTGATGCAACCATCGGCAAGCCACCGGTGACTCCATGCTGCAGTCTGATCAATGGCCTAGTTGATCTTGAAGCTGCCGTGTGTCTTTGCACTGCCCTTAAAGCCAATGTGTTAGGAAAGGACCTCAACATCCCCATCTCCCTCAGCTTGCTTCTCAATGCCTGCGGCAAGAAAGTTCCCAATGGATTCCAGTGCTAATTTACCATCTTTGTTGCTCAATTATTATTCAAAATTGGTTAATGTTTTGAAATAATTACAATTGTAGCTCGCTTCTTTGTTTTTCTTCATGTTTTTTACTTGTGTTTGAAGGTCAATAAGTTCACCTATTGATCATTGCTTAGTGATCGATGTTTTAATATATTAAAAATGAAAGAATTTATTATTTCTATCTTCTTTTCCTAATCCTTCCACCAAAATTTTGTTGGAAATTCACATGTATAAATATACTGAGGGTGAATTCCATAGAGTCTGAACTGCTTGACAAATTTAACATGTTTTCGAGTTAGACATTTTGATTTGTTTATTGGGGGAGATCAGTGTTAAAATTCAACTGCATGCACCACCCTTTCAAAGCACTAGAAATGAGATAGAATTCACTAGAAATTAGATGTAAAGTATGGATATGATCCAACTCTATCCACACAGACATTCCATGCAATTTTACAATATCTTTTATATATGGTTGTGTCAATATCTATCGACTTAGTTAGTTCAACGATGATTGTCCTTATCGTCGTATATACTTTCGAAATTTGCCTATGATGAATATATTACTATATTTTCCTGCTTCTACTCTAGAATATTTAGGGGTTGTAACATCTCTGCCGTCCTTAAGTCGTCATAACTCATCAAGCACTTGCCACATGAATTCTTACTTTGTTGACAAATTAATAATTTCCTAACATCCTACACTAACTTGTCTCCCCCTCTTCCTGTGTAAGATGTCACCATTCTACTCCCTTAAATTGTTGCACCTCTTATTACCGACCACATGTATTCCTATTGTTGTCTAGCGTCTTTTCCTGGAGGGATAACCCCATGATACAAGGACCTTGGTTCGAAGGTTATTGTCCCCTAGACACTCCTCCTAGTTAGGAGACTCGTGGGGTCCTATGGTCATCAAACAACTCAATTCTAACCTATGCTTTAGATTTTATGCGTTTCCCACGACAGAGCCTAATACCTGCACTAAAACTTCATGTGCTCTCTATGACATCGTCTGAATATCTACGCCCAAGGATTCATGCATTCCCTGTAATGTAGTGTCATAAGATCATGTTACATTGCACATAAAGTGGTCTTTAGGGTATCTTGAGTTCTAACTCTAAGAGTTCTTTGGTAAGTCTTGAGGCACAACTAAGGCAAGATTCTTAACATGTAAATTCTAATCTATGAGTCATAAACAATTGTGGTAACATGCATAAATTTTTCATAAACATCTAATATTTCATAAGCATCTTGTCACCTAGTATTCATGCAAATCTTGATTTCTTATAAAGAGTCTTTGGGGTACTTCCATCATTTTCCTCATGGTTGGTGCCCCAAACATGTTCTAATCCTCTCGTGAGGTCTCACATGATTACCCTTAAGCTCATAAATAAGTCTCATATAAAGTTTCATAACATTTGAAGGTTGTTGAAACATCTCAAAATTCTTATAGGGGTATTTTGATCCTTTACTACCTCTGATATTGGTTTGAGTTCTTAACATATTCTAATAGCCTTAAACCTTGCATAATAAAACTCCTAAAAATTTCTGCTATTTAGAGATCACTCGAGTTAAAAACTAGTGGTGCATAACTATAGGAAAATTTTGGTAATTTTACACCTATCATTGGTTTAGCCCCTCAACATAATACAATAACCACAAATTTCATGCATAATGGTGCCGCGTTATATTAAGCCTTCTATTAACATTTCATGAGTAGGGTAGTCCATTTTAGTAGGTCATTTTAAATTCACTTGCATTCTTATCAAATTGTCCGGTTTAGGTTTTGACTTTCAGTTCTTGTCTTAGGTTTTCCATAGTCTTTTAACTATCTCGTAAATTTCACACCTGAAATTGACTTAGATTTCGCTTTAAAATCACAATTAGAATCAGTCAGGGAGATTCCTTCATTTCATTAGCATGTAAAATTTTCCTTTCGAAAGCCCAAATCACTTTTCCCCTGTTCCTAACAACACCGTGATTTCATAGTTACATATTTGTAGTGATAGAATTTTTCTTAGACACTACCGCTTTTGATATCTATAGCAGTCTATAAGTTCTAATTGTCTACCAAGTCTTCTGGGCTGTTTCATTTGAAACAATTTATAAGTACATGTGGTAACTCCTTTTTCATGTCACTAGTCAAAATACTACATTGTTTTTGGAAACATTCTAACATTCCTCAACAAAATCATTTTAATGCGTATACTAATATTTAATAGCTTTTTAACTTCCTTTCGTGAGACTATATATCTTTACAATTACAATAAAAATCTTACTAAATCTAAACATGTTCTAAATCATCAATACATTGTGTAGTACTCACATTTCAAGCATAGTAAACCAACATATGTACATTATTTATTATCTCTTATAAGGCATACGTGAAGGTGACAAAGAGTCACTATAAGGCTATGGAAGCATTCTGAGCCAAAATTGTAGGGTAGTTACAAAATCTATAAGTCTAAAGCTTTGATACTAACTTTAGTGACCCTATTTTTTATAATAAAATGGAGAAGCCACTGCATGCATGACATGCCTAATATGTGCAGTAGTAAAAACATTTCATAATGATGCCATAGACTTAAACGTTCATACTAAATTCATTTAAAATAATATTGTTATCAACAACATAGCGAAAAACACATCACATGAATTTAAATAAACTAAAGCAACGCCCCATTTCCCAACTCCTAGATCTGTGCCAACTCGCAAGCCACTCTGACTCGCATGGTTGATCCGTGATCGAGCTGTGGCCGGCTCAACTTGGCGCACTCTAGCAGCTCTAATCGGTGCATTTGGCTCGGTTTGTCTATTTTGAGCCCCTTTGACATCTTTGGATCATTTCCTACAATTTTTACTCCATTGGGAGCCAATTTTGACGTTTTTAGGGGGCTTAGTTACTTACTTTGGATACCACAAACCAACATTGGTTCTTTCACCATGTTTTGTCCTCAGACACATATTTCTTAAAAAAATTATCAGGAGATCACACAACATAAAATTATTTTAAGCAAAACATACTTAATTTTGTATATCCCATGATTGAGTCATCTAAAAGAAATATGCACCTTATTAATATATAAAGTAACTTTTAAATTTTTTAAGTCTTTCTTAGTCATCCTATGTTTAAAGATCACTACTTTTATTCGAATGTGATTCTAGTTCATTTATGTACTCATCCTTTGCTCGAATGTCACAAAATTATGTACAAATCTCTCTAGTTTACTAATACACTCAATTCTAATATACATTAATTAATTGGATTAAATTTTGTAATTTTCATATATTATCTTATAATTTGGAATTTGGAATATGGAATCTGGAATTGGATGTGAGAGCTAGGTGGCAAAGTATTAATTTATATTTGTAATTGAAAACTATGTATATGGGAGTGTTGTGCATATGAAGTATTATACAATAACAACAGAAAATATCATTCTAACAATCTCTATATATTCATATAATAGTATGACATGTGAAGCATCTCTATTTTCTTTATGAAACAGATCATATTATATGTTTAATTGTTTTTCATATTTTTCAACCTATTTGTGTAACATGTGGTGCCAAATTAAATATCATTGGTCCAATAGAAGTATGCCACACATCATAATTTAGTAAACATTGTTAATGGTAATCAATAAGGATCTATATCAAAATCATATAATTTAAAATGCCTAGATATAACCAAAGTTTAAAATATCGATGACAGTAATCTAAAAATTTAAATTTTATGTAAATGTAAGATAAAAATGTTAACAAAACATCGATGTGTATGAATATTTCTTGAAAAATAAAAAAAAATAAATATTATCAATTTCATGAAGGACATACTTTCAAAACTTACTAGAGAATGTTCATAAATTCTTTTTTAAGGAAAAAAACACCACTAACTAAATATACTAACTAAATATATGGACTAAATTTAATGGTTGTTGTAATGACATCAACTGAAATAGAACAAAGTCGGTTGAATGGAGAAAAAAAATGCCATACAAGAAATTTTGACTATATTATTACTTGTGTTAAAATGATAGGATTAAATAGAAAATTTAGAGACATGTATTAAATACCGAGTTGGGTTCTTCAAAGAACTGCCTTAAATGAGCGAGGGAATTGCTGTTTAAACAAAAAATGGAAGACGGAGTGGAGAAAAATTTCTTTATGTTGCTAAAAGTTCTGAAGATGAAGAGTATATTACCCTTCTAGTCTTTGCCCGACACCTGTCGAATTCCCTCCTTACATTTTACTATGAAGTATTTAATCTATTTCTACAAAAATAAATGAACAATAGTGTTAGTGAAAATTGATATAGAAATCGAGGATGAAGATGGTCTCAAACATCTTGGAAATAAGAACGCCTTTACATTTTGCTCCATATCACGGGAAATCTGGATGAAGTCAACATTTCAAGTTTGTTACGAGCCCAAAGATTAAGGGAAGAAGAAGAGGAAAATTATGGGTACCCATCTCAGGAAGTGTCCAAAATTAAGTCTGCCGGCTATAATGCATATCACACATGAATGATGGAGATATCATTATTTATTTTTTATTTATCATTCAGCTTCCATAAGCCCTATAAAAACCCCAACTCATCTCCAATTCTCCCACACCAATCTCTCACCTCACAATTACCTTACTTTTGGTTTCCATTCAGTTCAAAACAATGGCTTCCAAAGCTACTGCCTCCCTCGCTTTCCTCCTCGCTCTCAATCTCATCTCCTTCTCCCTCGTCTCGGCCTGCGGTGACTGCTACCCTAACCCCACACCTTCCCCTGAGGATGGAAAATGCCCTAAAGACACTCTTAAACTAGGAGTTTGTGCCAAATTGCTGGGCGGTCTCGTTGATGCAACCATCGGCAAGCCACCGGTGACTCCATGCTGCAGTCTGATCAATGGCCTAGTTGATCTTGAAGCTGCCGTGTGTCTTTGCACTGCCCTTAAAGCCAATGTGTTAGGAAAGGACCTCAACATCCCCATCTCCCTCAGCTTGCTTCTCAATGCCTGCCGCAAGAAAGTTCCCAATGGATTCCAGTGCTAATTTACCATCTTTGTTGCTTCAATAATTATTCAATATTGGTTAATGTTTTGAAATAATTACAATTGTAGCTCGCTTCTTTGTTTTTCTTCATGTTTTTTACTTGTGTTTGAAGGTCAATAAGTTCACCCATTGTTCATTTGCTTAGTGATCGAAGTTTTAATATATTAAAATGAAAGAATTTATTATTTCTATCTTCTTTTCCTAATGCTTCCACCAAAATTTTGTTCAACTTGTTCCAATGAGGAAATTGAAATGTATTGCTTGACAAATTTAACACGCGGACACATAACTATCTTCTAATATTTGACATCTGACATTCGGTTTGTTTGTTGGTGGAGAGCAGTGTTAAAATTCAACTGCATGCCCCACGCTTTTTAAAGACTACACTAGAAATTAGATGTGACTCTATCGACATAGACACTCCATGCAATTTTACAATATCTTTCTATGTGGTTGTGTCCAACTATCTTATAATATCTATCGACTTGGTAAGTTCGACGTTGATCATCCATATCACCATATATTCTTTCGAAATTCACATACGATCAAGTCCATTACTATATTTTCCTGCTTCCAATCTAGAATATTCCGGTGTTGTAACATCTTTGTCGTCCTTAGGTCGTTATAACTCATCTAGCACTTGCCACATGAATTTTACTTGTTCATTAATTTCCTAACATCCTACAATAACTTCTCCCCTCTTCCTTGGTAAGATGTCACAATTATACTCCCTTAAATTGTTGCACTTTTTATTACCAACTATATGCACTCTTTTGCATTGTGGTTGTTTTTTTTTTAGGGATAACTGCATGGAACATGTTTTTTTTTTTGTACCGAGGACCTTGATTCGAAGGTTATTGTCCCCAAGACACTCCTCCTAGGAGACTTATGGGGTCCTATAGTCATTGTACAACTCAATTCTAACCTTTGCCCTAGGTTTTATGCGTTCCCAGCAACAAAGCCTAATACTTGCATCTAAAGCTTCATGCGCTCCCTACGACATCGTCTGAATACTTATGCCCAAGGTTTCATGCATGTCGTGTGATGTAGTCTGTGTCATAAGACCATGTTCCACTGTACATTAGAAGGTATTTAGGGTATCTTGAGTTCTAATTCTAAGAGTTCTTTATTAAGTCTTGAGGCACAACCAAGACAAGATTATTAACATGTAAGTCCAAATTCATATGAGTCATAAACAATTACGCTAACATGCATAAATTTTTCATAAACATCAATATTTCATAAGCATTTAGTCACCTAGTATTCATACAAACCTTGATTTCTTATAAAGAGTCCTTGGGGTAGTTTCATTATTTTCATCATGGTTGGTGCCCCAAACATGTTCTAATCCCCTCCTGAGGTCTCACGTGATTATCCTTAAGCTCATAAATAAATTTCATATAAAGTTCTATAACATTTGAAGTCTTTTTAGGTGGTTGAAACATCTATTCTTACCGGATTATGTTAATCATTTACCACCTCAAATCTTAGTTTGAGTTGTTAACATATTCCAATAGCCTTAAACCTTGAATAATCTCTTTAAACCAAGAAATAAAGTTCCTTGTAAAATTTTGTCATTTTACACCTATACTTGGTTTAGTCCCTTGACATAATACAATAATTATAATAACCACAAATTTCATGTATAACCTTATCACGTTATATTAAGCTTTCAGTTAAAATTTAATGAGCAGCGAAGTCCATTTTAGTGGGTTATTTTAAAGTTACTTGCATTATGAAAAAATTGTCCGGTTTGGGTTGTTGTCTCTCAGTTCTTGTCTTAATTTTTCCATAGTCCTTTAAATCATCTCGTAAATTTCACACCTGCAACTATCTCAAATCACTCTTTCCCCTGTTCGTACCAACACCATGATTTCATAGTTACATATTTCGTAGAGATAGAATTTTTCTACGACACTACCCCTCTCGATATCCATAGTAGTCTATAGATTCTTATTGTCTACCAAGCCTACTTGGTCAATTCATTTGAAGCAATTTATAAGTACAGGTGGGTACATCCTTTTTTGTGTCTCTAGTCACAACACTACATTGTTTTTCTAAGTTTCGAGACATCTGATTGAAATATCTAATCTTCCTCAGCAAAATCATTTTAATGTATATACTAGTGTTTAGTAGCTTATTAATCTCCTTTTGTGAGACTATATATCTTTACAATTACAGTAAAAATCTTACTAAATCTAAACATGTTCTAAATCATCGATACATTATGTAGTACTCACATTTCAATCATAGTAAATCAACATATATACATTATTTATTATCTTTCATAAGACATACTTGACGGTGACAAAGCGTCGTTGCAAGTCCATAGAAACATTTTGAGCCTAAGTTGAGTTTACAAAATCTATAAGCCTAAAATTTTGATACTAATTTTAACGACCTTATAATTTTGATACTAATTTTAACGACCTTATTTTTTATAATAGAAATGTTAGTAAAACATTTCCTAGTGAAGCAAATTCATTTAAAATAATATTGTTATCAACAACGTAAACTGGAAAACACATTACATGAAATTAAATAAACTAAAGCAATGCCCCATGACACAATCCCAGATCTGTGCCAACCCGCAAGCTTCTCTGACTCGCATGATTGACTCGTGACCGAGCTGTGGCTGGTTCAACTTGGCGTGCTCTAGCAGTTCTGATCGGTGCCTTTGGCTCGGTTTGTCTATTTTGAGCCCCTTTGACATCTTTGGATCATTTCCTACCATTTTTACTCTCTTGAGAGCCAATTTAACGTTTTTAGAAGCTAACATGAGTTCTTTCAGTATGTTTCATCCCCACACACATCTTTCTATAAAAAACGCATAGGAGATCACATAACATAAAATTACTCTAAACAAAACATGCTTAATTTTGTAGTTCCCATGATTAAGTCATCGAAAAGAAATATGCACCTTATAAGTATATATAATAACTTTTAAACTGTTTAAGCCTTTCTCTGCTAAAGTGATCTAACTTCATTTATTAATTTGATTAATTTTTTAAATTTTCATATATTATCTTATAATTTGGAATCTCCAATGGGATGTGAGAGCTAGGTGGCAAAGTATTAATTTATGTTCGTAAATGAAAACAAATATGTATATGGGAGTGTTTTGCATATGAAATATTATGCAATAACAATAGAAAATATTATATATATAATAGTATGACATGTGAAGCATCTCTATTTTCTTTATCAAACTTATCATATTATATGTTTAATTGTTTTTCATATTTTTCCACCCATTTATGTAACATGAGGTGCCAAATTTAAATATCATAGAGGTACACCACACATCATACTTTAGTCAACATTGTTAATGGTAATCCATAAGGATCTATATCAAAATTATATAATTTAAATTGCATAGATATAACCAATGTTTAAAGTATCGGTGCTAACGGTAATATAAAAATCTAAGTTTTATGTAAATGTAGATAAAAATGTTAACAAAAGGTTGTCTATCGATATTATTTTCAATAAGAATTAATTTTTAACTAAATTAGTTAAATAATAATAATGACATACTTTCAAAACTTATCGGAGAAGGTTCATTACTTTTTTTTTAAGAAGAAAATTACCATGGCCTAAATGTAGGGACTCAATGGATATTGAAATGACATGAACTAAATAGAACGAAGTTTTAAAAGTATTGAACCAAGATTTATGTTACCGCTGGAACTATTGAATCGAGAAAAAAAATGTCATACAAGAAATTTGAACTATATTATCACCTCTTCAAATGCTATGATTAAATAGAAAATTTAAAGATATCTATTTACTATATGGATTCTTCAAAGAACTGCGTTAAATGAGCAAAAAAAAAAAATTGTTTTTTAAACAAAAATGGAAGACGGGAGTGGAGAAAGATTGTTTTCTTTTAGCTAAAAGGGACAAAAAAATGAAGAGTATATTACCCTCCCATTTTCGCCCGACAACTTCGCAATTCCCTCATTACATTTTACTTATGAAGTATTCGATTCGGTTTCTACGAAAATAAATAAACATGTAAAAATTAAAATAGGAAGCGAAGGTGAAGACAGTCTCAAACACGTCGAACCAAATCAATGGTCATACCCATGAACTTAAGAATCTTAGAAACAAGAACGCGTTTTCATTTGGTTCCATATCGCGGGAAATCTGGATGAAGTCAACATTTCAAGTTAGTTATTCTCCCAAAGATTAAGGGAAGAAGAAGAGGAAAATTATGGGTACCCATCTCAGGAAGTGTCCAAAATTAAGTCTGCCAGCTATAATGCATATCACACATGAATGATGGAGATATCATTATTTATTTTTTATTTATCATTCAGCTTCCATAAGCCCTACAAAAACCCCAACTCATCTCCAATTCTCCCACACCAATCTCTCACCTCACAATTACCTTACTTTTGGTTTCCATTCAGTTCAAAACAATGGCTTCCAAAGCTACTGCCTCCCTCGCCTTCCTCCTCGCTCTCAATCTTTTCTTCTTCTCCCTCGTCTCGGCCTGCGGGGACTGCTATCCTAACCCCACACCTTCCCCTGAGAATGGAAAATGCCCAAAAGACACTCTTAAGCTAGGAGTTTGTGCCAAATTGCTCGGCGGTCTCGTCGATGCAACCATCGGCAAGCCACCGGTGACTCCCTGCTGCAGTCTGATCAATGGTCTAGTTGATCTTGAAGCTGCCGTGTGTCTTTGCACTGCCCTTAAAGCCAATGTGTTAGGAAAGGACCTCAACATCCCCATCTCTCTCAGCTTGCTTCTCAATGCCTGCGGCAAGAAAGTTCCCAATGGATTCCAGTGCTAATTTACCATCTTTGTTGCTTCAATTATTATTCAATATTGGTTAATGTTTTGAAATAATTACAATTGTAGCTCGCTTCTTTGTTTTGCTTCTTGTTTTTTCCTTTTGTGTTTGAAGGTCAATAAGTTCACCTAATGGTCATTTGCTTAGTGACTGATGTTTTAATATATTAAAATGAATGAATTTATTATTTCCATCTTCTTTCCGTATTTCTTCCATCAAAATTTTGTTTAACTTGTTCCAATGAGGAAATTGAAAGGTATAAATATCTCAAATTTTACATAACACGTCTTCTAA